ATTGATAACCTTGTCAAGTCTAAGTAAAAGGCTAGAGTAAGAAGAATGTGCAGATGGCTTTTTATTTGCACGCGAGGCTGCTTGCCCGCACGTGATCACGTGGGACCCTCAACAGTAACAGACCCCTTAATAACGGGGAGATCGCGATGCAGCCATCCGCCTTCTCCGTTATTTAGACATGTGGGCACGGTTGGCAAGATCCAAGAGAGCCAGGTCAGCTCGAGGCATTAATAGCGGCCCACTAGGGTATTTCGTCGAGATAACGACCACCAGATAGCAAACAGTCAAGTGGCGAGTTAACAACAGCAATGAGCATTAAACTCTATAGCTACTCTTCGTTAATGTGAGACGAGGTTAGTTCTTCTATTAGAGTTCTACATGATACATGACAAAAAGTTATATTAGGTTCATGAGTAGGTGATCTGGTTGCTGCCAAGTAAATATATTACACAGTCTGCCCGACAGTGGGGGCATTATTTATCAGATAATGCTAATACCGCGCATGTGTGTATAGAGTGCAGGTCCTTAATGAGTACTTGATTCAAGAGAAACAAGTACAATAAAGCGTCTCCGAGTCAAGGCGTACTTAGCAGCTCCAAATGAGGTCAATTCGCATGTTATAGCGCTCTCTTGCATTAACAAGACTTGGGGGCACTCACTTATGCCAACATACAAGATAATGCCGTTATTGATTACCGAGGACATGCATTATAATTCGCATAACAAATCGCTCTTGATATTGGGTACATTGACGTTAAGAGACGCCTGGTACACAAGGCTTGCAGCTATTAGCAAAGAAAGCTAGAGGGGGAGATGGATATAGACAAATTAACATCTAGATGCCCAGGAGTCCGGGACAAATATAAAAGCCTCGATTTCCTCTGTCTAGGTTGAATTGCCATCATCACTCTCATCTACTATTAGCACCTGCTACTCTGTTATAGTTGACCAACTACTACTCTGTACATTTATATTTCTCCCCTCTAAATACCATCCACCATGAAGATCGCTATACTCGCCACCGTCTCTGGCCTCTTTCTGGCCGCATCCACCTTGGCCTTGCCAGCTACGCATTCTACCCGGCCTGAGGCATCCTTGGAGCAGTGGCAAGGCGCTGAAGCTGATAAATGCCCCGAGGACCCTAGCAGTAAACCTGAGGGAGCTAAGCCTCAGGAAGCTGAGCAAGCCTAACAATAACACACGTGGCAATTTGAGGCGGCGAAGGTACAATAACAAACCGAGAAGAGCTGGCCCTTAGTATTCCGACAGTTACACGCCACAGCACCTCCAGAGCTGTTTATATATGCAAAAGCCTGGCTAACAGCTTGTTAAACTGTCGCCAGCAAAGACTATTTTCTCAAAGTTAAAGTCTTGATAAAGCAAGTAGTTACATTAAGAAAGAGAATCTACTTGTTGCCTTTTTTCTTTCTTTTGCTATTTTTCATATATACATTATAGTAATAGTTGTCTTCAACTATTAATATATTCGTTTAAACCAAACTTTTAACCTGTAACGGGCTAGACCCGAAAGCGGCTCGGCTTGCGCTCTCGTCTTCCGCCCCGGCCTCCCGTGTCTAGACCTATTATAAACGAGATGAGCATTAATGACTTTCAAGCTCGTAAGCTCCCCCTTTCTTTATTCTACTTGTCTTTCTTCTTCAGCTTCAGATACTTGCAGTAGTCGCCTAGCCAGTCGTTAATAGACTCGCTTGGACTATTAGTTACATGTTGTCGGAATTTCCGACGGTCAATTCCAGCATAGCTCCCAGTTTACCTACATTGGCTCAGAATCCCCCGAGTCGCCAACTCCCTCTGGTCCTCTGGCAGTATACGCTCGGTTTGTCCCATGGCTTGATAAAAGGATAAAAGGTTTTGCCACCTAGACTATAAAAAGCGGAGATCACTCCTGGTAGTGCAAGGGCTTTATATCGCCGCATGTATTATTATAGCTTCGTCCTTCACCACGGCGGCGACAAACGGGACTTCTCCGCCACCCGCCGGCTGGAGACCCACATCACCCGGATCCCCTCGCCGAACCACCGGCGGCTCTGCACCGGAACGCACGGAATAGGAGTAGTTTACACACGGCAAACTCGCCATCAATAAAATCGCAACCAGAGAATCCAACTCACTACCCATGACGCCGCTACCATAAGCGGCTTTTCAGATAATGCCCTCTTCACACCATCTTATACAGCAGTATAAACAGTCTCAGCCTCTTAGGCCCTGCAACGTGTCCTCAGCCACGGATGTGGACGCAACAAGCCAATTCCCGTACGAGCTTTGGTCAATAATGCCTTAAGAAAAACCAAGGGCCTTTGATACCAAAGACTTTTATTAGATGAATTGAGACCAAGCCTTCTGTATTGAACCCTTGTCACATCGAGATTCAGACCGAGATTCCTCCTTGGGGTACAGGAATATTGAGGATGCTAGTCCCGGCAACGCCTGTTCCACGAATTTCACGTTGTCATAAAAGCACGGGCCAGATCTTGAACCTGGCGATAGTTACACAATGGCTCGGGCCTAGTGAGGCCTCAGGCCTCTGGGCCTGTTTGCTCACCACTGTTTGATATAAATAAGGGTCACCCGCCTTCAAGGTCTTGAGGAAAACCAAGGACCTTTGATGTTAAAGTGAATTCTTAGCCGAATGCAATTTTGTTCTCAGCACTTCTTCACAAGCCCTTGTCACAACGCCTCCCGCAGCTTCTACGGTTGAATATTACAAACCGAACCAAATATAAGGCCACACTCCTAAAAATGAAGACTATCAAAATCGTTGCCATCGCCGTTGCTCTTTCCAGCACCGCGGTTGCTGGGCCTGTCGCCTACGCCACCTGTCAAGCTGCCTGTGCGGCAAGTCTCGCCGCAGGGCCTGCTGCTGTTGCAATCTATGCGGCTTGCCAAGCAGCATGTGCCGCACTACTGGCTATGCCGGGTCCATAGGCCTATCTACTACAAACGGTCAGTAAAGCCTCTTGACTTGTTGATGCATATCCAGCTCGGGGCTAATGGTGGTAATTCCGTTGGTAAAGCAGGGCAGTGCATCTCGACCACGATGAACTGAGTTATAACAAAACATTTCAACATATCCCTTTGGCTAGAAGTTGGGCTTCTTGTACTTCGTCATAGGCTCGAGTTCAACATGCAGACAGAATGGACGCATTTCCGGGGAACAAACAGTCTAGGTATAACAAACACAGATTGGAGTGTTGCTCAGCCTACAGCTCAGATTTACCAAGAATGAGACCTCTTCTTTCTCAGCTTTGAGATACATGTACCCAGGCCTGCTTTTATAGCTTCCAGATTGTAGCAGTGATTGAGCTGCGGGATTTCTGGATCTATTTGCTCCATAGCTCAAACCCGATAGTCACTGTCACGCCAATCTTCATGTATCCCAATGTCATCTACTTGATATATCGTGAGACGATTCTAACAACAGGCAAGTCTCCACGTCTGTTCAACCTATTCCAGCTTTGTGCCATCTATAGAAGTATTGACCGGCACCTTATTTGGTCTGCATACTGTTCACGCATGTGGAATTATACGCGACGGGATTAAACCCTCGACATCCTCGTAGAGACTGCTCAAAGCCAGTAGTACTAATGCGACTTGGCCTTGAAAACTTTCACATTTTGTCATTCGCCATGGCCGTTAAGTTTAATCGCAGGGTCAAACTTGCAAGCTGAAGAGCTACGAAATTGGGCAATCTTTATCGTATACTGCAGCAACAACTTATTAATGCACTCTGGGAATTGCAGCTTTGACGTCCCATCTCCAATCCATTTTGAAAGCAATCCTGTCCATCCAACGTACGAGTGTACTCTGACCGAGACGATAGCTCGAGGGCATCAAGGGTGGCATGCTCACGGGCTCCTCCAGTCATAGAGGCTGGCCGGTATACTTCAAAAGGCTGATGATGCTCACTTTTTATTTCCCCAAAATTTGTATTTACATGGCGCATATCGTTATCTAGATTTTCCTTGCTTTACGCCGCACCACCACGACCACCAACTCCCCACTGCGCCTGTGCCTGCGCAACCAGACGTCGACCCCGATGGCCGGTAGGTCCCTGCCCCGGCTGGTCGGCCAGGCCAGGAACTTAGTCTCAGCCAGGTACCTCAGAAGCGGCCGACGGTCTCCTGGCTGATGCCCTCGCCGGCACACTCATCAATACCTGTCCACCGGTCTACATCAGCCTTGAGCACGGTAACGGCATTGTGATCGTCAAACTCTGGCGTACGCTTAGTCGATGGTAAGTCATTTATCGCCATGTGAAACTGGGGCATGAAGGCACTCTATTCCTTATCCTTTTGGACGAAACCAGCTGAAATAAAGGGAGCTGGGCGAGAGATACTTGTTCATACACAGGCGCGGATGGGCCGTGACGTGGACAACGTGGACACCGACGTCGCCGCCGCTGGTGCCAGTCTCGGCTGAGACGGGATTGAAGCTAGCAGGGACGACAACTCGGGCGACGTGGCCTACAGGCACGGCGTTGACGGTGTTGATGATGCGTGGGGCGGTTCGACAGCTGAATGCAGCCCTTGAGCCTGCGAACGAGCAAGTCGTCATTGTTACAAATACCAGTGGCGGTGTCCCCCGAGATAACCAGTACCAAGACCGGTGCGGCTGCCCATTATGTCGTCCGACGGGGAATTCGCTTCGTCCCGTGCTGGTCTGCTCTTAAGATAGCTTAATGTAGTGATCTGCATCCGAAACGCTTGTTGAGCTGACAAACGAGAAGAGCTTAGGCTTGTCTTGGTTACAGAGCCGTAAGGCATCGAGCGTTGATAGGACGTTGCTGCGCTCAAGATGCTTGTACCGTTGTACTCAATGAACCTGGGGGCCGTTATGGATAATGACGTCCGCAGCGTCAGCAATTGTGTCCCATGTCTTGTCATCAAGTCCAAGGTACGGCTGCGAGAGGTCGCCAATGACTGCGCTCAGCCTGTCTGCCCAAGAATCCTGCCAGACGCCGCACCCGCGAAGGGAACTCTTCAGTCGCTCGTGGGCGGCCTGGACGTCTTTGGTTCCGCGCACATAATTATCTCGAAGTTCTTACGCTCAAGTAGGTCCTTGACTATGTAAGAGCCCAGGAAACCTGTGGCACCAGCCATGAAGGCGGTAGTCTTGCGTTCCGGGGTGAGCGTTGCAGGGTCCGCCGTCCGATACTTGGCATCCAGGCTACCGAGCAGCTTGTCGAGCGACTGGGTATAGGCAGGCTCGCGTTCCTCCGCAGCGCCGGTACCATCCTTTCCCTCACGCAGGCGGTCGACCTGGGCGCTGAGCGCCTTAAGAGACGAGTTGGAATAGAGCGAGTTGATGGAAACGTTGGTGCCCATCTTCTGGCGAATATTAAGGAGAAGCTGCTGTGCAAGCAGACTGTGCCCACAGCTCTCGAAGAAATCCGACTGAGGTCGAAGAGTCTTGGCATTCAGACCACGGACAAGCGTCACCCACTGCTCCGCAAGATCTTTGCCGGTGCTGCTAAGGGCCTCCCAGCCCTTCAAATCCTCCTCTGAAGCCTCCTCCGAAATCAGGGCTGTATCTGGAAACGGGAGATTCGGACTGTCTACCTTACCGTTGGGGTTCAAAGGCATCTTGTTTAAGAAGATGTAGTAGCTTGGGACGCCGCAGGCTGGCAGCTTAGGTTGGAGATGATCTCGGACTTCCGCTTGCATTGGCCTGAAACGCTTATGATAGACGACGACGGGTCCAATCCGGGTGCCTTCCTCTTCATTGCCCGTTAGGCCGTGGTCGGCTAGCCACTGAATCCACCAGACTCTTGATAGTCGGTCACAACATAGCTGACGAGCGTCGACTCTTCATTTTGATCTCTTCGAAGAAGCGTCTTGGACTCGCAGATGAGAGGGGCCTTCTTAGGTTGCTGTCGATCTCGTTGAGCTCGATGCGGAAGCCGCGAACGGCCCGCCCTTGGCTCTTTCAATGGAGATGAGTGCCTTTGGCTGGGAATCTTGGAGGTAAATTTTTTGTCTTGCCGGAGGATACGCAGGGTCCAACACGATTATGGTCACGCCAGCTGCGAGAGTGCCCATGAAGGCAATCACGAGCTCGACGGAGCGGTAGGCGAAGATCATAACGACATCGCCATTGGTGATGCCAGCGTCGTGGAGCTAGTTGGCCAGTATGTTGGACGCCTCATAGATCTTATTTGTAGGTGAATCGCCTCGCAGGAGCGGTAGAAGAAGCCGTCTCCGTGACGCAGGGCCTGTCGGGGTTCGCTCGAGCATTTTCCTGGAAGACGTCATGGATAGCCCTAACCCAGCCGCTCCAGTCGAGATAGATGGTAGGATCCCGTTACTTTGAGTGCCTCGCATGGTGATTGGGTTTCCGAGTATGTGGTGGTTTGGTGCCAAAGAAAAATGAGTCAATTGAAAAGAGCCACGAGCAAGGTAGGGATATCAGTGGGCGGACCAAGATACTTGAGCTGGGAGCCCGGAGGGGCAGGTGCTTGATGTCAGTGCCTGATTGTAGCAGGCGGTCAACATGCACACCGAGCGTCGAGCATTCACAGAGACTCGCACACCTGGCGACAGCTCTCATCTACTCCTGAGTTGAGGGAGGGGACCAAAGATGATAAGTAAAGAGACTAGCCCAGGCTGAAGCCAAGGTTGAGTACGCTGAAACACACGCCTGACGTCATGAAATCAATTCATGCTTCAAGCCCAATCGCGGGGCCATTCAGAAACGCTCCAAGCTCAGCAGGAGGGGCAAAATTATGCAAATATAATCCTGGGCTGGACGCATATTCGAGCATCGAATGCTCCTGGCGCGTAGTCATGATCCCAACCAACGACAATGCCATTTGCAATACAATGTCAAAGCAGTGTGCTCTTTCTTCTATATGCTGCTGTAGATCTTCATGGCTCAAAGCGAGTAGCCCTGCCATAGTAATACAACAACTCCTGATATACCACCTGATGCATCATCGTATCTCCAAGCTGTACATGGTACTCTAGCACAAGATGGCCGATGAATGCAATATCTGCCACTCGCGACGGTAAACCCGGGCCGTGGACCACGTACGCACCAACAAGGGAGGACTGGTACCATTTCTCAACAACGCAACAAGGTTTCCTCATGCCAATTCTCTATACAGAATGATGCCGCAATGTGCATTCTCACTCCGCTGCAAACTTTCGCCTAATCGTCCTGCATTGGCGACTTCTCAGACTCGGGTCATGGGGTGTCGCCTACCCGACCCGACCCCGACCGCACGGAGCACGCCCACCACACAATCGATCAAAACGAATTCTACCAGACTTCACCACATATCTGTGCCAACACGGGCTTGTAATACCCACCGGCGACACTAGAAACGACCGTCTCCACATTCCCGGAGCCACCCGCAATGGCTATCAAAAAAATCACCGCATCGCGCAACTTCCCCCCATTCAAACCTCCCAACCCATGACAGCGACGTGCAAATATGGCATCTCCCAAGGTCTTCATCGTAACCGGCGCAAGCAAGGGTATCGGAGCAGCCGTCACGCGCTACCTGCTCGAGCAGTCGCACAAGGTCGTGGTCACGGCTCGTTCAGCGGAGCCGTTGGAAGGGATTAAAAACGCGTACCCGGGTCAAGTTGAATATGTGGCGGGGGATATGACCAGTCCCGAGGTATGGCTTATTCCCATTATCCCGAGTTGTTGACGTTGGAGGCAAGTGGGTGTTTCTGTGAATGAAGGCGTTGGCACGCGGCAGACCATGGGCTGATGATATGTGGCAGATGCCCGACAAGTTGACCAGCCTTGCCGTCGCATCGTTTGGCAAGCTGAATGGACTGGTAATCAATCATGGACTTCTTGTGTCTTCGAGATTAGAGAATACGTCCATCGACACCTTTAAGAATCTCTACAACGTCAACGTCTTTAGCTGTTTGGCCATGGTAAACCTCTTATCGCGCCGACTATCAAGTACCCAGTACTGATCGCTTGCGTTAGGCTCAAGCAGCACTTGGTGAACTACGAAAGACCAAGGGATGCGTTGTCTGGGTCTCTTCGGGTGCCGCTCTCAAACCATACACGGGATGGAGCGCGTACGGTTCATCCAAAGCAGCGCTCAACTCCCTCTCGTCGCATCTTGCTTTTGAGGAAAAGGACATTACGAGCATCACCGTCAGTCCGGGACGCGTAGATACAGACATGCAAGTGCAGATTCGATCATCAGGGCAGCAATCCATGGATAAGGCACAATACGACACATTTATCGAAGCATTCGAGCAGGGCAAACTGCTAAAACCCGAGCAACCTGGCAACGTGATTGCCAAATTTGTGGCAACCCCCAATAGGGAATTGAGTGGGAAAGACCTGAAGTAGGCGCCCAATCACAATTGCGTTATTGGTACTTACTGACAACATGAACAGTTGGAATTCCGCGGAGTTGGCTTCCTATCGGGAGTAGGCGACATCCGCGTGGACTAAGAATTGTTTCCGATCATGTTAGCTTCGATTCCATCAAAACATGAACAAGTTTATAGAAACAGATAAAAAATTTGCAATCAGTCGAAAGATGAAAAGCTCTTAATTTACTCCACATGCGTGATTCGGTATTAGCATGGAATGTAAGTTTCTTCATCATAGCAAATATGTCACAGCGAAGCACATGTTCATGACAATTTTTCTTACCTTTTTGAATATTCATCCTTGCGTGACGGTGTTTTCGGTCCAAGTGATGGCTTGACGCAATGCCTATTTCGAAGCTTGTTAGCATGCCCAGTCGCGTTGTTGATACTTCCATTCAACAAATTTTTGGGTGCTGCGCTCAGGCTATCGAATGTCTCCGTCATGAATGATCGGTATTTGATAGTACCAGATAGCAAAAGGCATCATGGCAGTCGAAGGTCGGCATGGCGAAGGGTGGAAAATCTTACATTGTGCACGAGCAACGTGGAAGCCTAGCCGAGGCGCGGGTTAGCTTGATTTGGCCTTGCATAATTGTGCGCAACACGATGGGACTCAAGGCCAACAAGGGTTCAGCTGGGTCTATTTGGCATAAGACGTGTCTGTCAGCAAAGAGGCTTGTCGGACCTCCTCAGACTGGGGCGACAACGAATCTCATCACTAGAAAGGCACGAAGGAAAGGACGTCAGCGGTGTAGATCTTACCTCCAGGCAGCCAATTTTGGACAAGCCAGTCAACGCAAGAGCAGAATCAGCTCAATTGCGACACGGGCAGGCGTGTTGTTGAACTCATGACGAATGCTTGGTAAAGAAGAGAGAAGCTTGAAAGGATGGGGTTTTTTTTTCTTTGCTGGTCGCTTTTTAATGAGGACCCGCTGGCACGTGCACGCTGACTGTAGAGCAGAATTCCCAGCATTGAAGCGCCGCGCCCTTCAGTCAGTGGGTTTAGCACCTTGAGTGGAGAGCCCGTCTAGCTTTGGCGAGCTGCTAGTGGCCACTGCCCCGGCGCCCCGCTAGACGCGGCACTGTGGCCTCCATACTCAGCCAGCACCAGACCAGAGGCTGTGCTGCTCAAGCTCTCTCAAGCGCTCAAGTTCAAGGCATCTTGGGAGGTATAATTCACAGCTTCGCCCCACCATGCACCAGACCCTCGCCATCCGTCATTCTTCAATGCTCAACTGTTTCGACCTTCAGCTGTGAACTGGCCTGACCGTGGCGCGTCGCTCACATAACATCTTTCTCTGGCTGCCTCAGCATCCTCGCGTCTATCCGCAACTTGTCCCTGAGCTCATCTACCAGGCCCTCACTTGCATCTAATTTTCCAGTCTGCTTTTGCACGCCGCATTGACGTTGCATTCAGGTGGCCTGCCGCGCCGTATCCTGCCGCACCTCCTTCCTGCACAAATCATCACGACTTTCATCCGTCAACATGTCGGATCACGAGTTCGGCGGTACGTTCAGCTTTGTTTTCCTCTTGTTTTATTTTTTTTCGTCGCATGTTCATCATTGCTTGCCTATTTTCATGCATTCCCTGTCGTACCACCATTTCGTTAATTCTTTCTTGTCTTGGTCTCTCTCGCACCCGCCCACTTTCTTGTCATATCAAACTTGAAGCCGGTCAATGTCGGTGCTGCTGCCATCACGGCCCTCCCACTGAACTTGATATGAAGCAGAGGTGTCGTTACGCAGTGCACGAGCCATTTCTGTTTCTCTCCCTTTTTTCCCACTGATAAATCAAGCTTCGCGTGTCGTGGTCGCAGTCGCAACGCAAGTGCTTGCTGTCACGTCTCTTCTCACGTCCCTAGCCGCCCCATCCTACGGTTCCTACCCATCTTTCGGTCTATTTATCAGGGTGCGCCGTCATCTTTTAAAAACTAGCCCTGTCTGCCTTGATTTCCGGCGCATTTTTACTATGCCCAGGAAGCCTCTGACGGACCGATATTGGGCCAGGGTGGATTCAGGCCTCAGTAAACGCTGCATTTCTTTGTTTGTCCGTCTGCGCCAAAGGTTTCTAACGAGATGATTTAAAGCCAATGATGACCTGTCTCTCCCCAAAGGTATGCTATTCATAGCCGCCCATTCACTGCCACGGAAGGGCGCCGAAGCTAACACCTGTCGACAGCCACCGTCCAGAAGATTGTAGGTGAAATCCTGCCACCACACGGGGGAGTAGCTTTCGCAAAAGAGGCCAGAGATCTCCTGATTGAATGCTGCGTGGAATTCATCACCCTCATTTCTTCCGAAGCCAACGAAATTTCCGAAAAGGAGGCCAAAAAGACCATTGCCTGTGATCACATTACAAAGGCCCTCGAGCAGCTTGGCTTTTCCGACTACGTGCCCGCTGTGCTTGAAGCTGCTGCCGAGCACAAGGAGGTTCAGAAGGTACGTCTTGACTCGTCTTTCGTGTTTCCGTCTCCCCTGGGCGTTTTGCTAATCTGCCACATCTACCGCAGGGCCGAGAAAAGAAGGCGGACAAATTTGCCAACAGCGGCATGTCCATGGAAGAACTAGCGCGTTTGCAAGAAGAACAGTTCGCCCAGGCCAGACAGAGGCATGGATAAGTCTTGTCTTTTAATTTTTTTGTGCGATAGGGGAGCTGCTTCGTTTCATTTGGGCGTCGTGATGGGCATTGCTTGGCGTTGACATATAGGACACAAATGATTGGCGATGCGAAGATTGTTTGCTGGGATCGTTTGAGTTTCTTTGGTTAATCGTTGAATCTATCGCGAAAGGACACACATCGGGTCCTAGGTTTGCAAAGACATAACGATCGGGAAAACTGTGCTTTGAATATACATATGATATCTACGGGTTCATCCAAGTCGCTACGCCACTTTCCGCAGCTCGGTCAAGGAATATCCTTTGTCCTTTGCAATTTCGCTTTACTGTAGTATTCCAAGCGCCATTTTGGGGCATTTAGCCGGTGCCATCTCGCCTCAATTCACTAGTTCCAGCAAGTGACAAAATTTGTGTGGCAAGGTAATTCCAGCATTGCCGGCATGGCTTCGATCTAGATCGGTCCGCAACACAATGTGCTCCCGTCTGATTGGTGCCGACTTCATGACGGCGGCATCTCCGTGAATGTTCAGCTGTTGATTCCCCCACCAGTCGCTCGTTCCCTGCATCGTCGTTGCTTTTTCCAGTTATCCATTTTTCGGTTGGGTTTTGCAAATTCCATATATAACAATCGGGTACAGCTTCACACACCCATCTGCCCACACTATTGAATCTGCTCCCCCAATTGTTCGCAGTTGCATCCCAAAGCTTGAGAGTTGCATTTTGGGATATGGAGCGAGCGACAAGATGGCTTTCCGACCACTGAGACCCGCCACCTCGAGAAAACGACCCTCCGCATCCCGTAATACATCTTCTAGTGACGATGCTCGATCCCCTGGTGCCGGTCCGAGTCGGGCACTAGCTATACAGGCTTGCCTTGACTGTCGGAGATTAAAGATAAAGGTTGCCCCGGCCTCTTTCTCGTCGCATGCTTGAATATGCTCCAAGCCTTGCTTACCGTTGCTAACGCCGCTGCGCAACCAGTGCGATGGCAACTGGCCCAAGTGCTCAACGTGTACGACCAAGAACCGAGCCTGCGGCTACGTCGGCCGGGAGGGCCAGAGTCGAGCCACTGCTGTCAAGTCACGGCTCGAGTCTTTGGAAGAGCTGCTAGCTGCGCTGAAAACCAGTAGCCCGGAGCAGCTCTCCACGATCCTAAACAGCATACGAGATGATGACGACGCCGTCGGGGCGATTGAGAGCCTTGCAAGTCAGACAGTTGCTTTGAACAGGCAGGATGAGCAATACGGTTTGTTGCTCCTGGCCAACAAGCTGACTTGCGATCTCCGCCTCCTGCTTCCGGAAGCACCGGTTATGATGCGGGCGGTGAACTCATTCTTCAGCTGCAGCGGCAAGCTATTCCACGTCTTTTCGGAGACATATATCCTGCAGTGCTATCGCGCAATCTTTGATGAGTCTCAGGCCCCCTCGGAGCTTTTAAAGGCCAAGGTCTGCTGCCTGGCGGCGGTTGCTGCGGTAGGAGCCCAGTACTCGCCCGACACAATCAGCAAGGAGGTGGAGGTGGGCTTGTATAATCTCGCTAGGCATTTCCTTGAGGTCACGATTGAGCATGAACCTCTACACGCAATCAAGGCCTGCGCCTTGTTTGCCCAGTATAATATTATGAACAAGGAGATGGTGTCTCTCACATACGTTGGTAAGTGACTGGTGTCAATTTTTGACCCTGGGTGTTTAAATGTTGTTTGACGCCGCTAATGTGCCCTTTTTAATTGCAGAAACTGGGCTGAGCATGTGTCACATCTACGGAATAAACAACAGGGCTTTGCGGCCTGATTCCATACCCAGCGTGGAATGGCGCGACCTTCGGAATACATGGAGAACTTTGATATTTTTCTCGAGGTATGCAAACGAAGAAACATTCATGGCCGTGACCTCTGCTTCTGAGTCCTGACAGCATGTGTTCCCTGCAGCTGGCTCTCATCAACACTTGGGTACATCTCCGGGAACGCCTGGTCGGCCGAGAAAAGAGTGGTACGTGGACAACATCGACTCGACCTTTTAGCCTGACAGAATCTGACTTTTCTCCAAGCTCGCTGACCTCAAGTTTGATGATGCGGACAATATCACCGAAGGTATGTTTCAGCAAGGAGCGACCACAGCGCTCGTTACCTGACGTGGAGCAGTCGTGCAGACGGAAATGGCGAGAATATGCCTTCTCAAGGCGGAAATATTGCGAATGCATTTGGTATTCAAGGATCTCACAAGCCTAGCTGTCGAGACCATTAGGGGAGATTTGCAAAGCTGGTACGGAGAGCTACCAGAATCCATGCGACTCGGAGTGACGGCACATGAGGATCTTCCGGTGGGAACTAAGCGATCCATCTTGCATCTGCACATGCTTTACCTAGGGGCCATAATGCTTCTCTATCGCAGAGTAGCAACCCAGTTCTTGCAGTCCTACGCAGTTGGGGGCCTTGGCGGCAGCCTACACCTTCATCCGCGCGAGGCGTTCGTCCAGCAAAGCGCAGAAGCTGTTCTCGCAGCCAGCACATCAGCCAGCATCGTCAAGCTACTTCTGGACGACGATGGTGTCTTCAAACATTGTTGGCTTGTCATGTACGTACCCCCCATGTCTCACTCAACGGAATGAGGAGGTGGGTTTGATTCGTTAACAATGACGTACATAGTTTCCAAACCTACACCGCTTGCACGATTCTTCTCCATTCTGTAATCCAAAAGCAACTGCACGGCTTTGAGCCATCGCGGTGGCAGGACGATTTAGAAAGAGCCGAAGACTGCCTCTCGGTACTTGCCTTCTGCGGCTCCCAGGATCGTGTCGCTGAACAATTCCATGAGCAGCTCGAGACCATCTACCAGACAGCCTCGGCATATGTTTTCAGTAGCGAATCAAACGGGGCTTTCATGGAGACGGATGACCAGTCAATCCCTCTCCGGGCAGACAACCCTTTTACTCCAATGGATGATGTCGGGGAAGCAAATTATGCCTATCTCCTAGACATTCCGCCTCAAGCAAATGACTCACTCGTTAAGCTCTCATTTATCCTTCTCATGATGCTGGGCCAGCCCTTTGGCGACCGTGGCGCAAAAGAGGCCGCGGAAGTCAACTTGAAGGAGCATTGGCTGGCGGATCCCTCAAGGTACGAATACCCGCAGATGGCAGAACGCGTGGATTGGAATATAGAGAACAGGCGTATGTTCCAGTGGGATCTGAGCAAATTGAACATTCCCCCTTTGGAGGCGATGAAGGTGGCGGGAGAGTCTAGTTCGTCAGAGGGCGCATTAGACTTGGGCTTATCGGACAGCATGTCTGCAGGCACCTTTCTCGGCAGCTCTGAGCCGAGCGGATGGACGTCAGCAGCGAGCCTAGCGAACCCGTTGAGGGATAATGAAAACATGTGGGGAAAATAGAGGGCCTAGATTGTTGATACTAATAAAACACGTGTCATGATTTTATAAAGGCATTTTAAATGACTGGTTCGCAAAAGAAAGAATGAAAGAAAGAAAGATGCTTGCAGTTAAGCAGACGCGTACGGAGGAATTGCCCCGCAGGAAACATGGAACCCCCTGGCCAATGCTACCGCTCTTGTTGTACGACCCCAGGAGCCGTCGACGGTTGTATCGATAAGATCAAAATGATGTAACGGTGGTGCAAAAAACCCCACGTCGGCGGTTGGTGGCTGACCCAAGGCAAAACCATTTCTACAACCACCACCCACGACTGTCAGAAGTTTGCTGACGACGACTGCATCCGCACACGACCCTGCAGGGGACGCCCGCTGCAGCAGCCGCCACAATAGGTCGAAGTCGACGCGATCGTGACAAACGAGGCTTCCGGCTCCCGCGCTGGCTCCGCCGCACCATGGGCAACGAGGAGTCGGCCCTCGTCGCCGAGTCGGTCAAGCCCTCGACGCTGACGGAGAGGTCGCTGGCAGCAGTGGCAGCCTACCTCAATGACGAGCCCAAGCAGAGAAAGGTCGTCGTCCTCACGGGCGCCGGCATCTCTACCGCCGCCGGAAGTACGTAGCGGCTCGCTCCAAACTACTCCCTCTGCTTCTCCAAAAACATCTATCTAACCACCCCCCCTTCGCTTGGCAGTCCCCGACTTCCGGTCCCCCAAGACAGGACTCTACAACAACCTCGCGCGGCTCAACCTCCCCTACGCCGAGGCCGTCTTCGACATGGCCTACTTCCGCGCGCACCCGGAGCCGTTCTACGTGCTCGCGCGGGAGCTCTACCCGGGCAAGTTCCACCCGACCGTGTCGCACGCCTTCATCAAGCTCCTCGACGACAAGGGCATGCTGCAGATGCTCTTCACGCAAAACATTGACTGCCTCGAGCGGCGGGCCGGCGTGCCCGCGGACAAGATTGTCGAGGCGCACGGCAGCTTCGCCACGCAGCGGTGCATCGAGTGCCGGGCCGCGTTCCCGGGGGACTTGATGACGGAGCACGTGGCGAGGGGCGCGGTGCCGCGGTGCCGCGAGGCCGGCTGCGCGGGGACGGTGAAGCCGGATATTGTCTTCTTTGGCGAGATGCTGCCGGCGGCGTTTGGCGAGCGGGCGGGCCACGCGCGCGCGGCGGACCTGGTGCTCGTCATGGGGACGAGCCTGACGGTGCACCCGTTTGCGGGGCTGCCCGAGCTGGCGGCCGAGGGGAGGCCGCGCGTGCTGCTCAACTTGGAGAGGGTAGGGCGGCTGGGCACCCGGCCCGATGATGTGGTGGAGCTGGGCGAGTGCGACGAGGGGATTCGCAAGCTGGCCGACGCGCTGGGGTGGAGGGACGAGCTGGAGGCGTGCTGGAGGGCGGTTGTCGGCCACGAGGAGGCGGACAGGCAGCTGAGGAGCGCGGGGGGCGGGGGGCGCGAGGTCGAGGTCGAGGTCGAGGACGAGGTGCGCAAGTTGGCCGAGGGGGTGGAGGAGGCGCTGAGGCTCGGGGAGAGCGAGGACGAGGACGGGGCCGGGCCATCGGCGGAGCAGGGCCGTGACAGGACGCAGATGATGGGCGATGAGGGACTTGAGGCTGGGGTTTCGGAGGAGGAGTCGGCGGCAAAGGGAGGACATTCGATGGCGACGGCAGAGTCTTTACCAGAGACACCCGAAACTCGTGTTGAGAAACATGTTCCGAGGGCAGCGGCTGAAGCAGCAGGTTCCGAAACAGTCGACGAAAAGGAAAAGGAAAAGGAAAAGGAAAAAGAGGTTGAAAAGCCATCTCTTTAGAACCCCCGTTCATTCACGCATTTTGAGTCACGATTGGTTCGTCATGTCAAGGCACATACATAGAGGCGTTTGGGTTGTCTAGTCGAAATATACAGCTAGTCTACACGGCACAGGGAGAATTTCTAGAAAGAAAGAAAAAAAAAATGTACAGGCCTCGGGTTTTTATATACTCGCCACACACGCCGGGCCCCCCCTTTCCGATTCATAACCCGCTGTCGATCTGATCCGGGATATTGGTGTTTGTCCACTCCCCCCACTGCCGACACGTCTCGGCAACCACATGCGGCATTGTGTGCCGATACCGTGCCACCTGGTCGGGGTTGGTGAGGAACTGCGCGAAGAAGCCGGCCGACACGTGCCACGCGATGTGGCAGTGGAACGGCCAGACGCCTGCCACGGTAGTTTGTATCGTTAGCAACGTGCTCGCCGGCAAGGGGGGGTCGGGAGGGGAAAACGGCCAAACATACCCGGGTTGTCCGCGGCGTCAAACTGAATCACCAGGTGGCCGTGCTTGCGGACCTGCACCACGTCTCGCCGCTGCGGGTTGTCCCTGTTGACAATGGTGCCGTCCCACGGGCCCTCGCCCTCGTGGAGGACGTACATGTTGAACCCGTGCAGGTGCATCGGGTGCCTGGGGGCCATTAGCAAAAGGGCTTCGAGGAGTGTACGGGGGGGGATGGGACCTACGCAACGGGCGTGTTGTTGATGACGTGAACCCTCACGCTCTTGGCGCCCTGTGTGTTCTTGACATTCCACTGCTTCTCAAACGTGTGGTTGCCCAGGGCGCTCAGCAGCAGCGTCGGGCGGTTGTAGTCGCCCCTGAAGTCGACGCCGCCAAACGACCACAGGGTGATGTTGCTCGCGTTCTTGAACAGGCCGACTTCCATGTCGTAGGTCAAGTCGGGCGCAATGGGCCGGCGCCGCATGACGGGCTTTGTGAGCGCGAGGTCGTCGTTGGCGCAGGTCAGGGGGTCGGGGACGTCCCACGGCTGCGACTGCGGCTGCCTGGTCTCGTCGGCGCCGTCGTAGTATATCGCCGCGTAGGCGTGGCGCTCGCCGGCGAGGCTGCACGCCTCGGATATGTTGCTGCGCATCCAGTAGGCGTCGAGCGGCGCGTCGGCGGCGACGAGGACGTCTGTCCGCTGGCCGATGCCCAGCGTCACCACCTTGGTGTGGTAGGGCTCCACGGGCACAAAGTCGTTGGCGATGACGGTCATGGTGTGCCCGTCGATGGTGAAGCGCTGCAGCGCCTCGCAGCCCGAGTTGATGAGGCGCAGGCGGTGCGTCTTGCCGCGCGTAAACTTGAAGCGTGCGATGCCGGCGTTGCTGTGGCACGGCGTCTTGTCGCCGGCCGGCAGTTTGGAGCAGTCAAAGTTTGCCTTGCCGTTGATCATGTTGGTGTCGGACCGGACGGGGCGGCCGTTGGGCTTCATCGTCTCCTCGACCAGGGCGTAGTAGTCGCGGTGGTACCAGTCCGAGAGCATGACGGGGCCGAGATCGACGTCGTACCTCGCCGTCCGAGGTCCGTATATAACCATTGGTCCGACGATGCCGCCTGCATACTGCGCCGAGTAGTGTGAGTGGTACCACGTCGTGCCGTACAACTCGGCCTCGAAGGAGTACGTGTAGCTTTTCCCCGGCGCAATAGGGCACTGGGTGACACCGGGGACGCCATCTTCCCAGGGCTTGCCGTGTTGCAGGAAGCCGTGCCAGTGCAGGGCGACGCCCTCCTCGGCGCTCGAGATGTTGTTGTGCAACGTGACCTGGATCGTGTCGCCCCAGTTGGCTTCTATCAGGGGGCCGGGGAATGCGCCGTTGACGAGCAGCACCGAGCGCTGGTATCCGTCTGGCGCGATGACGCCGCGGCTGACGGTGAAGTCATACGATCGTATCACGCCAGTGCGTGGGAAGTGTTCGTAGTAGTCGGTGGTGTGGTTGAGCAGACTCCAGGGAGATCCGTTGGGCAGGGGATTGTTCTCTAGGAACATGGGCAGCAGAGGCGCGACAAGTGTTCCCAAAACTGATTTGCTGTGACATGTTAGCGCATTGCTTTTCAGGGGAGCATCGAGTGCTTGCGAGTGTTGCCATGTACCCATTCGTTCTTGTTTGTAGCACCTTTCCCCCAACTTTGGCTGCCGAGTACGTCGCTGCATCTCGTTTGCTAAACGTGATGCCCATGATTCAAGCGGGCAACTCTTCCCAAACCATAAATAGAGAAGAGAGAGCGGAAAATGGAACGAGACAACAACGCCTCGGCGTTTAAAGCAATATACTTGCTCTATATAATAAGAGCATGAGCACATCTATACTAGATCCGGATCCGCGAGTAGGCCGAGGGAGACGTTGACGACTCCATCTGCACCGACGGCGGCGCAAAAGGGTCACAGTATTGTGACAGTGTGGAAAGCGTCTGCATAGCATGGTCCTGTTTTGATTTTTCTTCCATTCTCCAACGTAGTGCCAGGTGATGTGCGGATTACTACTCGGTCGAGAGGGAGACGGGAGCATCCCGCCAGAAGCAGGCGCATGCAAGGTTCCCTGTCTCAGATGGAAGCTGAGCCGGCCTCCAGATCTTGTGGAACAACTTAAGAACAATGCGGTCTAGGTACATGGTTAGCGCCGCGGATTTCATCACGAGCTCATGTCGAAAATGGAGATGCTGTATGTATATGCGTGGTGGCTGCTCGAGTCTGGGAGCACTCTAGGAGTAAAGAGGTCAACTGGTCCAAGCAAGGAGTGCCGAAAACAGCAATTCGGTATGCAAGATGACTGACAACTTCGGGATGGCTTGCCGGCATCATGTACAGAGTACTCCGTACACTGCCTGATTAGTATTCTCCTTAGGAGAAAAGGTGACTCCAGATTTGCTTTTTTTAGCTCGCCGTTTTGCGGGGTTTGTTGATGCCAAGTTGACACATCGCAATCTCAATGTCTCAGTTTTTCGTCGCCCCTTCAAGAAAGCGGTCAGTCACGGCGACTAGCTTCGATGCTTCTCTGCGCGGCTATTCCGTACCCAGTGCAGACTTCTGAATGCATTCGAGATGGGAATACGGATATCTGTGCCGGATGGCATGATTCTTTTTCTGCCCCGCGACCATCATCAACAGGAATGTTGCATTCTGACGTAAATGACGTCTTAGTGCCAGTGCGGACGGGACCGCAGACGCACAAGGGAGACGCGGGTCTTTTGGCAAATATTTTTGCTTCTTGTTCTTTACGGGCGGGCGTAAAGGGGGCCTTGGTGTAGCATCCAACTTCGGCCGCATCCCTTGGATTATGGGATTCCGAGGTGCGCCGAAATATTGCTGCCAGCATGCATCAAGACGGGCCGCTCCCTGAGTCCGGACTCTGGGTTTTCTTTTTCCTTTTTTTTTCGGATTTTATGCGGAGTACAGTGAACTTGGAGGTAATGGCACGAGTTCCATGTAGCGACCGAGTGTTTGGTGCGAAGACAGGCGAAAATAACCGTAACATAAAATATAAAGACAAGAATGTAGAACGGGTGCTGTCTGCTAACACAAAATTCACGTTGCCATGAAGGCACGGGCCGAAGCACACAAGATGGTCCGGGAGATGAGTCAGGGCATACAAAGTAGCAACTCAAGGTACATATGTAGTAACAATATAAACGCCTCAGTTATGTAGGTCGGGTTATACATATACGCGATATATACTTACGGGTAACAGGTCAGGACCAAGAGGAAAAGAAACCAAGAACCTTGGGAACCCAAAGACGATTCTTGGCTGAATTAAAAGCTATTCACAAGCTCTCATCAAGGCCTTGTCACATACAAGATATTATTCCTCAAAATTTTCCAAAACCCTCCTCCATTAAAATGGAAAAAGCTGCCTATAATCACACTACACTAGCCTCGTCTAGTATAGGGGATATATTTGCCTGTATAGCCAGCTGAAACGGAGACAAAACTGCAGTTACTGGAAAATGCACTCCTTATACATATTCCCAACTAGACGGCATGGCCAGAGCATTAGCCATGCAGTTAATTCAGCGTGGATTAGGCCATGAAGAACCCATCGGCATATTGGCTACCCACGGATCACACCAGGTTATTGCACAACTAGCCATCATCTACATGGGCGGCACTTGCGTTCCGCTAGACCCGGACCGACCTCAGTCGGACACGCAGACACAGTTACAAGTGGCCGGTGTTAAGAACATGGTCGTTGATGATGCGTTTCAACATCGGCATCTACCCGTAACAAAGATCCCGCTGTTACAAAGCCCCGATGGGGGGCACACGGCAGGCAATGCAGCAGCTCTCCCACTTGAAACCAAGGCCGATTTCCGTTCGCACATTCTCTTCACCTCGGGCACCACTGGTACCCCAAAGGCTGTTGAAATCCTAGCCCGTGGTATCGTGAGGCTTGCACGCGACCCTGTCTACGGCCCGCGGTCCTCGGACATAGTTGGCCATCTTAGCAACCCTTGTTTTGACCTCTCGCTCATGGACATATGGGCGTCACTACTCAATGGCTCAACAATTGCGGCGTTGGATAGGCGTGAGGCTTTGCTTCCGAAAAGTCTAGACCGTATGCTCAAGGAGAATCACGTCACGTATCTGCTTATGCCGACTGCTGTTTTCCACATTGCTGCTCCCGTATGCCCGACTGCGTTTTCAGAATGCCACACGGTTGTGATTGGGGGAGAATCTCCAGATCTCAAGGCCTGTGAGATGGTTCTAAATAGTGATGGTCCCCCAACTCGCCTCATCAATGGCTACGGCCCAACCGAGTGTTCCGTTCTGGCACTCGTACACGTCATTACGTCCAAGGACACAGCAAGAGGTTATCTTCCGATTGGAAAACCCTTAAATGAGACGTGTGCTCTGGTGCTGAATGAGTCGTACGACCCCGTGACTGGACAAGAAAAAGGCGAGCTCTTTCTCGGTGGCCAGGGACTTGCCCGTGGCTACCTCAACGACCCGGATGCAACAGCCAAGGCCTTTCTCCATGTTGGACAGCCCGAGTCGAATGGCAAGACTGTCCGGATGTTCCGTACTCGGGACTCGGTATATTCAGATGCCACCGGTAATATAGTCTGGCTAGGCCGAAATGACCGCGTTGTCAAGGTCAAGGGCGGATACCGGGTTAACCTGGACGCCATTGAAACCGAGCTTCTATCCACAGACTTGGTTCATGCGGCTGTGGCCATGAAGATAATCCCCCCGGGCGCGAAATCAAGCATTCTAGTGGCATGTGTTGCCTTGACATCGTCTCATTCGGATAGTTCATCGCTTCTTGCCCTGATCCGATCTCGTCTCCCAAGCTACATGGTTCCGCAGATTGTTTCGTTCGACACCCTGCCATTAACACCAAATGGAAAGGTGGATAAACGTGCGGCGACGAGGCTTCTCATGGACATGCTTCAAGAGGCCACCCATATCGACAACGAGCCGGACCCCGACATGTACACGCAAACAGAGAGAGCCTTAAAAAAGCTCTGGCTACAAAGCCTGCATGTTGTCCCCCGAGCAAGCATTCACCCCGGTGCCGACTTTTTCACATTGGGGGCCACGTCTCTAGAGGTCGCGGTCCTGATATCGGGCATACACCAAGTATTTCGGGTGATGCTGTCGGCGCACACTATATACAAGGTGCCCAGACTTGGTGACTTGGCAACATGTATCGACGGCATGGTGGCTGCCGGATCGACGCGCGACAACGAAGCAACTACACAGGCACTGCTTGCTGATGCTAGTCAATGGAGGCAGGTTTCCATTCCCACTACCCCCCCGGTTAACTGGCTCGACAAGGATGAAGGAAACGTGTTTCTTACGGGTGCTACGGGCTTCGTTGGCGCGCATTTACTCGTCGATTTGCTACGATGCCCTCAGGTAAGGTCGGTATGTTGTCTCGTCCGTTCCGACTCGCAGGCATCAGCCCGCAAAAAGATGGGCAGAAATCTCGAAAAATACCACCTGGAACATCTTGCTACTGAATTCGAGTCAAAAATCAAGATTCTCCTGGGAGATTTTTCCAAGCCACGGCTTGGATTGAGTGAGCCCGCCTTCTTGGCTCTTGCGGAAAGCACAAGTGTTGTATTTCATCTCGGTGCCCAGATTAACTACAACGAGCCGTACCTGGCCAACCGCGCTGCGAATATGACGGGGGTCTTGAACATGATCCGGTTGGCCGTCGCGTCGCGGCCAAAGGCACTACACTACGCGTCGAGCATGGCTGCCTTTGGACCAACTGGCCTGTTGGCGGACAAAGTAGAGGAACTCACGGAAGATGCGCCTTTGCAACCGTATCTCGATACAACGGTTGCATACGAGACGGGCTACGGCCAGAGTCAATGGGTCTCGGACGAGATGCTTTGCCAGTTGATGAAGCGAGGTTTTCCGGCCGCCGTGTATCGCATGGGTGCTGTCGTGTGCAATAGCAGGGACGGCGTAGGTAACCCGGATGATTTTCTGAGCCGGCTTACAGCAGATTGCTTCCGTTTAGGGATATATCCTCATCTTCCGGACCAGCGTAAGGAAATGATACCGGTCGACTATGTCGCTCCAGCAATGAGAATGATGGCCATGTCCAATAAGAATCTTGGCAAGGTATATCACCTTACCCCTGGTGTTCGAGAAAATATATCCGTCAACGAGTACTTTCGAATCGCACAGCAGCACACCGGCATCGCCCTGTCTGCCTTGGCATATGGAGATTGGGTACACGCTCTCCTACAGGCGGACAAGTCGGGTGTAGAGCTTGGGTTGAAGCCGCTGTTTCCGATGCTAATGGAAAAGGTCAAGAACGGTAGGACGCGGTGGGAATTATATGAGGGAATGGCCATGTTCAACAATGACAAGACGGTGGCTGCACTAAAAACCTCGGAGCACTTCCAGTCACTCCGGCCAGCGCCGATCAACCCCAAAGACTTGCATGCTTACTTTGATAACATTCTTTCTCGAGGTTAAGTGCTAGTGGGGATGAGGGTTCTTGCAATGCACAACAGGTTGCGAAGCGTTATTGTTCAATGGGCCAAGTCTGAGGCTAGTCAGCAGGGTGTACCGGTTCAAGCTGAGTGTATTGACAACTAGCTAGACGACTACTGCGAGTGCCCAAGGGTGAAGAGGAAAGGAACACAAAGGACAGCTCGAGGATTACTAACCCACATAGAGTGTGACAATCGGCCACTGTCCACAAGAGCGCACCCTGACGAACCGGTTGGGTTGCCAAGGAGATGGAAGGGACCGTGCGAGGAGAAGTTGAGGGAGCTTTTATTTCCTTGCGAAAAGGTTCATTGCAACCCACTAATGCTCGGTTGTGGTGGCGGTTTTACAGAATGAAAGACTATACGACAGTAGTAGGCCATGGAGGAATGCGGCCATGCCCTTATACGGCTCGTTAAGATGTCGTATAACGAATAATGAAAAGAGAAACTGGTAAAATAGCCAGAGGAATAAATAAGAAACAGCGGAGAAGTAGAAACAACCGGATTATTTTAAGAGCTGGTAGTATAAATCCGTTCGAGCTAGGTCGAAAACCGGGGAAATGATCCACCGACTGCGGTCATCAGCGCAAGGAGGACTGGCGAGAACTGGCGTGAAACCACTCCTGAACCGTCTCATAGGCGTTAATATTGCAATCGCTTGTAATAGGACTTGTCATTCTTCGTATGCACAAGCAGTTTCCTACTCTAGATAGTACAGACATGAATCATGTTACATGTGTATATGTTACAATGAGGTGTTGTCAGAGAAGGGCTCCATCCATACATCTCTAGTCATTCCAGCGGATATATATTGTCTTTTCGACACGGGGTTGAGATCAGGGGGATTTTCGCCACGCTGGGCTAGCCATGTTTACTATCGGTCGTCTTTGCGCCCGCATGTACAATTCGTGCAGTTTAGGGTCGGCATCTGATCGGATAACGGAACCAATCGACATGAAGAAGCTGCAGAGGGTGTCTGTTAGTTATTGTACAGAGACTGGCGCAAGGGAGGGCTAATCATACCCGAATGTAGTGCCAGAAACAAGCATATACTGGCCCAATGTTCTCATGATGCCCTGCGTACCAGCGCCATATCGAAAGATATTGACGGTTCCTGTCATGCTGTTAGATGCCGAGCAAACCATGGAATCGGGTTGCTGTTCCGTGTTCGTACCAAAGATGAAGCCCATAATGGTCCCGACAGCTACATCCTGGTCAGCGCAAGCGACAAGACGCCGGAAATTCTTTGTTTGACATACTACCGCCCATCATGGCACCCATTTTAACTAGACGCCCATTTTGTTAGCTGTTTTGTCCTCTCTCCACCGCGCGTATTATGCAGTCCTACGCTTGTCAAAGTTAGACGGGCCATGCTGGCCGCCCGTGGGGACGGCTGTGACAGGAGGCATGATGTTTCTTGGTGAGGTTGCTCTCTCGGCAGTGAGGTCGGTGCTCCCTTGGAACAAATCCAGTCTCGTTCAACCACAACCATCTGATTTCTTGGACGGTTGGACCCTTGTTCAAGCTCCTGTCACCCAAACACTCGACTTGATTGGATGTGGCCCGCGGGTTTGGGTAAATATTATCCCGCCAGTTGAAGCGCCCCTCACAGTTTTCTTCCCTCGGTGGAGCACCTATTTCTACTGTGCTCCCCATCACGTGAACCATGATCATGAGCGGGCGATGGGTCTAGCACAGAGTCATGAGATAATTTATGCCAGTTGGACCTAGGCCCATTCAATCGAAATCATCGCGGACACTGTTTACAATATCCAGACCGTCTTCGTTGTGACTTCTACCGGTGGTTGGTGAAGCACCTCGAGTGCGCTCTGCACTGTATGTGGCTCCCATCACTCTCGCTACCGCTTGAACACAGCGAGCACAGCAAGAGACCCAGCAGCGTCTAGGAGCAACACAGAACGGGGGTAACGCCAGATTGCCAAATCTCCCTTCAGTTCACTCCACACCAGCTTTCTCAGGACACGCGCGCCCGATTCCATCGCCGGCACCCCCAACTTTTTGTTTTGGTAGGTCACGGCGGTCCAGTTTGACAATTTCCCCTGGCGTGGCCGCCCGGCAGTCGCTCTTTCGCTTTATCTGGAGAGCCGCCAATGCTGCCACCCCTCGATCCGAGTCCGACGCTCATGCTGACGAATTTTTGGCATCCAGAATCATCCACACCGGAACTTCCATTGGCATTCGAGGGAATCGACCATTGCTCAAGCATCACTTTGTTTCTCGAGAGGTTCAAATCGTGGCCCGGTGTCGTCCGAAGGGCGGTGGACAGGTGTAAAGTCGACCAACTACGCGTCCGAGGCTCCATTCCGCAACGGCCATCACGGCATCCGCAGTGTACCCGCCCCCTTCACCACAAGATACGCTTGAGCCTTCCTCATGACCGCAGTAGCCAGCCCTCCGACCTTCCCTCAGATTTCTCGACCAGCATGGGGTGCAATTAGCGGTAGCAACCCCATGGACCCCGACGAAGTGAGAGGCATGTTCGCACCCCGGAAGTCTCTCTCGAGAACAAACTCTGCTTCATCATTGTCCTCCAACGCATCCAACACGTCCGTTGCCACAAATGGTTCACAGTCGAATGGTACTTCGTTATCTGCTGCTTCCGATTTAAGTCAGTGGTCTGCAACGGCTGGTCCTCGAAAGCGACCGCAACCGAAGACGCCTTGGCCACCTAGCAAGCCCGACGTGCAACCGGACTACTCGAGGCTCCCCGCCAACCGACCAAACGGCATGGCTGCACATCACAACGGACTTCAGCCGGGACCAGGCCAAAATCAAATGATGCAGCAGCAACAGATGATGCGCGGTCCGATGGGTGCGGAGCAATTCCCTCCGGGCCAACCAGTCCTCTACCTACTGTCCCTCAACGGCACATTCGAAAGAAAAACCATCTCTGTTCCCTTCGCGCCTGACAGCTTAAGAATTGGCCGGCAGACAAATCAAAAGACTATTCCCACTGCTACCAATGGCTTTTTCGACAGCAAGGTTCTATCAAGACAGCATGCCGAAATATACGCCGAGCGAAATGGCAAGATATATATTCGAGACGTCAAGTCTTCCAACGGCACATTTGTAAATGGCACACGCCTCTCACAGGAAAATCGCGAATCAGAGCCTCATGAATTGCAGACGGCCGATCATTTGGAACTTGGCATCGACATCGTGAGCGAGGATCAAAAGACTGTGGTACATCACAAAGTTGCTGCAAAGGTCGAGCATGCCGGATTTTTGTCCAATACTAACAATGTCTTGGACATGAACTTTGGCGACTTGGACCCGGCCAACGGCACAATGATGATTCCTAATGGGCCTCTTCAGATGCGTGGCCGGGCAAATGGCCACGCCCTGATGCCTGGCCCTGGTGGTCGAATGGTGAACAACGGCGGCATGAACAACCAAGGAAATGGAATGCCACAGCAACGGTCCTTCTTCTTGGCACCCATTGCGACGGATCAAATATTGAAACGCCTAACGGTAAGTGGGACGTCGAATTGGAAAATCACAACTTCTTGCTATGCATCCGCTAACTCGTTCCAAAAGTCGGAAATGAGAAACGCTCGGCTGCAGGCCCAGGATCTCAGTCGCACAAACCAATTCGTGAATACTCTGCTCACGAAAGAAGATGTAAAGGACCTGGAGAAACCTGAAGTGCCCGAACCGGCCAAGCAACAGCAGTCACAACCGTCAGTGAACGGTGGCATTCCCTTCCGGTCTGATCCCAAGACACGCTTCTCGGAACCACCCGCACCGCCACCACAACAACCACTGCCTGAGAAGCCAGATGTGCCCTCATTGAAACGAGGCCCAACTGAGAGACCGAAGTCTGGTCCTCCAAATTCTTTGGCGGCTCGACAAGAGAATATGAATCAGATCATACAGCTTACAGAAGCGTTGAACAATGCGAAGCGAGATATTGATACCCAAACAGCACGGATGCGAGAACTAGAGGAGATGCTTCAGAAAGAACGAGAGGCTCGTGAGCTCGCCGAGGAACTCGCGAAGCGACTTGAGGCGTCTACGAATCCGCAGATGAACGGATCCGTCATTACCCCTGCTGATGTGACCATGACCGATATTTCCGAGTCGGCTCAAGAACAGGAAGTCGAGGAATCCGGTGATTCAAGATCAGCAGCTCCGGAAGAAACAGAGCCACAAAAGAACGACACGTCTGCCGAGGAGGTGGCAGCTTCTCTGCAGTCTCGAATTGACAACATGGACGAGCAGATGAAGGATATGCGAGAGCAGCTTGAGCAGTGGAAGCACCGATGTGAGACAGCAGAGTCTGATAGGGATGAGAGCAGAAAATCGTTGGCCGAAATGGTTGTCCAGCTTCGTGCAGAGGAGGCCAAGCGAATTGCTGCCGAAGAGAGACGCCGCTCGAGATCAAGATCAAGGGCGGCCAAGTCCAAGGCAGATGTGATGGAGCAGGAAGCTCCCGTAACGGCACCGCCGGACCCGGAAAAGCCCGACAAGACAATTGCTGCTACCAATACATCCAAAACAGACACGGAGGATGGACCAACCCTGTCAAGAGCAAACACAATCACGCCACTGTCTTCACAAAGAGGATTTGCATCCCGGGACCAATCATTACAGGCCGGGTTGCCGTATGCGTCCATGCTAGGCGTGGTGCTGATTGGAATGGGTTTAATGGCATACATCAATGGCTGGCAGTCTCCGCCTCCTCGGATAGAGCAATGATGGCCATACACGAGATGCTTGAAGACGATGCTGAGATATACACTATATTCGGAACAATAACCTCCGCATATGCTGCATAAGACAATGCTCGATATCACTTTTATTTTTTGGGCATCGAAATCATTTCATTCTTGCTCCGCAAAGCATACAACAAAACTGTCATAATAGCCTTTTATTCAGATAACGACATGAGAAGATGACGATGATCATAACAGGATTGACCATACCATACCCTCTTTCCCTTTGTACATTTTATTATTGTGGGTGTTTTTTTCGTGTACCAAATCGACTGCAAACGACAAGGCCAGGACTTCAGGTTAGGTGTCCTATGATACATGTGGGTAGTCTTTGCTTGCGCAGGATGAACAGGACAGGCGTTTGACTTGTTACTCATGTTTTGCATCTGGGAAACTGTCGGGGACAACAGGAAAGGGTGCGGTGGACTGCCGCTTGTTGATGGGTGGACTGGTATTGAGTGTAGCACCCATCCGATGTTATAATTCATTTTGCATAGTAAGCGTTAGGGCTAGCGTCCCGATCCTTATTACACCTGGTTACAAAGCAACAGTCCCTGCGTTATGTCTTGTCCAGAGTGAACTCGCGGTGTTACAAAGAGTGTAGTAGCCGAGGTAGGTTAACTTGTGTGCCGGTGCTCCGTACAAAGCCAAGCTTCACGCACAATTGCCATGTTTTGTGCCCTGTATAAGTCAAAACTTGGATCAGGCGGAGGTCCAATACTGTTGCGGATACTTTCCTTTTAAATATAATGCTAAGCCAATAGTTTGAAGGAAACGTTGGATTTGCCACTAATCAACTGAGTCAATCGATTTGCAAGGTTGGTTCCGGATCCAAAAGGACGACTTAGTTACCGCTCACCTCAGGAGCCTTTCCAGCACTCCCACTTATTTCGCCTTGTGGGGTTTGACTCGATTTCTCTCTTGCATCTATTAGCGCGTTATTAAAAATCACTAGATATTCCGCACCCTAGGACTTGCTACTGGGTAAAAGAGTTGATTAACAAGGTTGGTTCTAGATAAAACAAGCAGTTAATTACCGCACACAACTCACTAGCCTTTTCATCACTATGCCCGTTTATTTCGGTATTAGGAGTTTAACAGGCTATGAAGGAACATGGAAAATTCCGCAGCTCCAGGATGTTGTATCTGTATCAAAGGGGTCTCTAGTGTATATACACTTGTCGTGGACATTGAACTCGAGGCTCGTTATGGGCACATCTTCCCACTGGACAGATAAAAGACTTGGATAGATTAGTAACAACGGAACGGAAAGACGCGCCGCCAAAGGGGCATCCCTTTTCCCTACGTATGCATCGGAAGAGTCGACTTTAGGAAGAATGTTCGACCTGCAGAGGGGCGAAGTGGAAGAAGCCTTGGGTGTAGGAATTCCAAAGGGGCGATATGCATACCTCGGAGCTCTTGGATTGGAAAGAAGGCTCGAGGCGGATAATACATGCCTAGGGCTCGGTCCAAGTTCACAGCCGATGCTGCATCTCACGGATCTCGGCGATGACGCTCACGGATTCTTGGTCAGGTTTGTTCGCCCAGGCAGCGTATTCGTTCGAGATGGGGCGGGGTTAGGAAAAGTCTGGATGCATGTGGTATATTGTGCATAGCAAGGGCAGGTGACACGGGAGCCCTGTGTCACTATTCCAAGGCTGTGGTTGTGCTCGGATTCTAGTATTACGGGATGCCTTGCAAAGCAGCAGCTAATGCCCCCTTTTCCACACCCCAAGAGCATTTGTTACCGGGTTTTCCTATACTACTTGGTCCCGTCCCGTGTTGGGGGAATATGCCTGTTGGAGAAGATGAGAATCAATTGCGTAGTGGAACGAGGTTAGCGAAAATTTATGGAATAGGGGAGCCAGAAGTGTTGGCTATCCAATTCTCGGCATGATGCCACTTACAGCGGTGTTTCTTCGCCAAGATCTTTTAGCATTTACCTGCTCAGTACATGGTTTTTTTTTTTTTTCAATTGCTCGCTGTTTTCCTCTGTTGTATACACTTCCTCGTAATGCAGCATATTCATACCATCTTAATTCACCGCTACGACTGCTTTTGGACGCGAGTAGAATTGCCTGGGGTCTCTAGGCTTCGTGCGAACATGGTTGCAACAAATGTCCTTCGAGGTGACACCGGAATCGGCATCGTATGCCTCCTGAGCTGAAGTTGATGTACACGGCCCTCCAGTCCTTGGGACTAAAGCTTGCTTCCATGGCCATATCCGTATCAGCGCTTGAAGTCCGTCAGCGATATATCCACTCTGTCGTGCCAATATAGGTGACGACGGCTATTCTAGCGATACACATGTGCTTGGTACTGTATTTACTAGGGGGAGTATTGTGTCGCTCTTTAGTCAAGTGATATGGTACTGTATTTACTCCTGACGGTCGCCTGATAACTTTCCCTAATGTCATTCAGCGCCGGATCAATGCTTGCGGTCTAAGAAATTGTGTTCATACAATGACCAGTGGTGATTTCAGGGAGGTAAGCCGTATGGCTTGAACTGTTGTAAGAATGTCTCTGGAGCTGCTGCATTATGTTTGTAGCGATCCCAAAGAGTAACCCCTTGTGTTTTGATGGCATTTTCTTTTGAAACAAAGCATCTATACAGAAAAGGAATTCTTGTTATCAACGTCGGTGTCGACACGTTCTATTCTGTGTGTATGCCATGAGCGTCGGCCGGGCCTGAGCATCTTGGGTAAGTAACTGGTTCGCTTTATAGAGAATCATTGTAGTCTGAGATATGTTCCCCTGACGGAACTGTACCAAATGGAATGTCCAAGAACAGTGGTGGCTGCTCAGAAGAATCGACCTAATGTGCGATGATTGACTGATGCCCATTCATTTAAAGGTTTGCTTCATACGTCATGACACAGGGAAACATATGTAAAAGATTGAACCTGGGAGTTGATGATGTCAACTCCAAACACAAACGGGCTGCCCTCGACGTCACGCATTTCCTCCTTGTTGCCATTGGCTATTCTTGGATTCAAGTCTTGCCAGCAGTGGACTCTCACCGTTGATGCTATTCTCAACGTCTACTAAAGTGGCAACAGTGTGTGCAGACAACCACACTCCAATACGAACGCAAATAGCAACATGTGCAGAAATAGCTAGGCTTTGGAGGGTTTTTGGGAACAGCTGTCAGAAACAATGGCCGTCCGGATATACCCAGCAGACACTATAGCATCATTCCTACGCGTACTCTTCACACGTCAGATCGGGCGGATTGCAATCGCCTCCGCAGCCGTGTTTTACGCCTCAGCAAAGTTGGTTCACCATCCAAATCAGTTGATTGTCGCAACTTGCAAGCATATATCGGAACTGAGGCATGTGCGTCGATGATTTGCCAGAGCTACGTCGTGCACGGACCACCCGATATTGTGGGTACCCGTCAAACGGATCATGCGACTCAAACACGCGTCGGGATTTTTTTCCTCTCGAGCAAGAGTTTCACCGTCCGCAACAGCATCATCCCGCAGATGCAACTCCGACTGACTAGGTCGGAAACAGCCAGTGGAAACCGGGGCAGCCCAAGAATCGACGACCGCAATTGCCGCCAATCCACCAAACAGCCGCGATGCCAACCTTCCAGAGCAACAAGTTCCGCGGGGCCGGCGAGGCCAGCAGGCTCGGCTCCCAGTACCGGCGTCTCATGAATAAGCACCCCTTTGCCATGTTTGGGCTGCCGTTCCTTGCCGTCGTCGTCGCGGGCTCGTTTGTCCTGACGCCCGCGACGGCCATCCGGTACGAGCGACACGACCGCAAGGTCCGGCAGATGACCAAGGAGGAAGAGTTTGGCGTGAGGCGGGCCGCTCGCAAGGTAGACATGAAGGAGGAGTACTACGTAAGTCCGCTACTATTCGGGCGCTGTTTTAGTAGCCCTGAAGGATGTTTTTGGTCCCGCGATATCGCCACAAATGTCAAGGAGACGGGGGGGGCCGCTTGGCTGTTAAAGGGAGAACTGCTGGCTGACGCAAGTGTATGAAATTGCAGCGCCTTGCGGGACGAGATCTCGACAACTGGGAGCAGAAGCGTGTCGAGCGACTACCGGGCGAAAACGACGGTATTCTGTGATGTGCCTGCTGCGGTTGCGCGGCCCCAGTCTTGGGTTGGTATGCTATATTCCTCTACGGGACCGATGCAGGCTGTGAAACGGAGATGACGACAGCCTTGGAAGGACGTCATTGTCCGAGACTATTGCGTCGGTTTGTCTTGGGCCCACGCTGGACCCTGCGCAGCTTACGAGCTGGGAAAAGAAGCTGATGCAAAACCATCATCACGGTCCTTCCAGACAAGGCGACCACTTTACGCGCGGGGCACTGATTGTCGCACTGGAATGTACACGGCACAGATTCAGGGGCGCCGAAACAGAGATCTGCGAGAGGCCATGGTTGGCGTATCTGTGCGTGGCAATCATTGCATTAGAGACCGATGCGCAGTCGGTCTGGCGTAAGGCGTCTCCCTTTTTTTGCTTTTTTGTCGTTTTCGGTTTGGCCGTAGTTGCCACGAGGCTCCAGAAAAGGCATCATCGATAGGGGACTTGGGGGCGGAGGTGCGACGGACGTGTGGAAACTTCCAAGAAGGCGTGTAGTCGGAGACGGATATGGGGTAGTCGGGCTGCTAGTGAGGTGTTGGTGCATTTGCTGGGAGAGATGCTTGGGAGACTTGCTGGCCCGAGACAGCAAGGCATTAGTGCTCCCCTTGCAGATGGGCGAAGCTGTACCGGCGGTGAAGAAGTCATCACGATGGGGAAACAGTCTACTGCAAGCTTCTCAACGGTGCGCTCGGAGGTTTAGTGATTGGACATGAGGGCTTGGCGTGCATTAGTCTGCGGTCTGGCTACTGGACGTGGGTGACAAAGGTCGACCGCCATTTCACCACTTGGGCCACGGTCAAGCAAATAGTGCCTGGTGTAGTAATACGAGATGATAGGCTGTGGAAAGCGAATCGTCGCCTTGACACGAGTGATGCGAGTTCGACAACTGCGATTGCACCGCTCGGCATCAAATGGGCCGCGTTCAAACAAGATGGTGCCTTTACGGCAATACGAGGCGATCAACCGCGAAGACAGATCGTCCAACACAGACGCCGGAATGCGCGGCAAATGCAACCAGGCCGATGATCGACCGGTCCAGCAAAAGCTTAGCATTGAGCACCGACGACGGATGACGCAACGCAACGCAACGCAACGTAGGCTGCTCTCGAGGTTGGTGGAGAAGATTCATACTGGCACCGCTGCCGCATTCCCGTGCCGACCAACGAGGCCAGAAGCCAGAAGGCAATTGATGAAGCGGCCGCGCAACCGACGGTGTGCAGCAGGAAACAAACGAGCCATGTCCGAGGGGCAACGAGGACGAACGAAGCACACGAATGATGGACTCGGCCGTTGCCGTGCTCGGGGCCAAACGAGGGAAAACAGGTTCAGTGTGTATCAGATCATCAGCCATGATGTCGTTTGGCCGGGGTATGCCGGCACGATGACGCTATTTGCAGATGCGGAAACAAGGGTGACCGGCCAATGGGGAGTGAGAAATAGGGTAGGTAGTTGAAGGTTGGAGGTGCAACGCAGCCAGGCGTGTACTGGTCGACAAGGGACTTTTTCGGCTATGAAATTACATTGTACTTGGGAAATTGAAATTTTTACAACTATTGCTGCCGACAAGGTTATGTCGAGAACCGTGGTTGCCGTGAAACTGCCATATTGTACCAGACAATGCATGAAGGCTGGGCACAGCAGCGTGCATGTATGTACGCCAAGGATGCGGTTCACGAGGCCTGCGGAGGCAAGGGTACAGTATTTGATGGTATGGCAGACGCCGACGCACACTCGTTACAAAAGCGCAATAGCTGACGACGGCTCAAACCGCGCCGTCTGGTCAGGTCCGTCGGACGCAGGCAGCACAACCTCCAGACTTGTTGGGCACGGATTTCACCACGGGGGGTTCCTTGGCGACCGCACAAACATGGACAACATCACGACCGCTGCTGCCCCGGTGTGCTGCTTCCCCAACGTCGACTGTTCCCCGCACTCGGCGAGCCATCGCCAGAGCCGATGGCCACATGCGAGGCATTTTGCGTCCTGCTGGGCCTCATCGGGTCAACGTGTTGACCCGCCACGACCGCCCGCGCCACCGCTTGCGCCGCCGGCCCTTTATCGTCTCGTCTCCTGACGGTACTTGGCGCCCAAGTATCACGAAAAAAAAGGCAAAACATTGAAACTTGACAGAACTTAATCTTCTCCTCTGCCCCCCCAGGGGCCCCGTCATCCGACAATCAGCCCGCCTGCGTCAGTAGTAAATCCCGAGGCGCCCTCCACGACAAGCTGTAGCGCGCAGGTCAGACGCCACAGGCACCCAGCGACCGGTTTTCCCACCACCCCGAAAATCTGCACACTCAGCACCACATACATAGGTATTGATGCGGTGCGGGCTGCGTGCACATGCAGCTGATTTTGATTAGATTGTGGCGTCTGGCTGGCGCTGACGGGCACAAGATGCCCGCCCGCAAGGGGCCTAGTCGCGAACCTGTGGCGCCGGCATGCAGCCCTGGTCGGCGAGTGGCGCAGCTCGATTGAGCAAGAGGGTGAGAAGGCGGCACGACGCCCGCTGATATTATACGGAGTACGGAGTATACGGAGTACATACGCATTTAGAGTTTCACAATTGCCTCTTACTTGGACATTGTGCTCTGTGACGAACTGATGAGTCTTTTTTTCTTCTTTTTTGGTACAGGTCCGTGGAGGTGCGTGGTTTTGGCCAGATTCGCCCGGCAACGTCACGGTGCGGCGGTGCGCAGATGGACCGGCGGTGCGCAGCGAAGCGAAATGGAAGCAATTATGCGTTCAATGTTTTCCCCTGCCTGGCCGCTGTTTGTCGGACGCACAACAAGTCCCAGGTCCGTGGCTCGCTCTGCCAGCCTTGCATCAATCTTACATGTCAACTGGGCGCACAGACCGAGCCGCCCACGTGAAGACGTGTTGGGCCGAATTGGGCTGCCGTGAAACCTCGGCCGCCTAATGTGACTGGTCGCGTCCATTGGCTGGTGTCGTGGTTTTTGGGTTTTTGGGGGGCACTGGGGGGGGTCTGAAAAAGGGAAACCGTCTGATGTTGCATTTACTGCTACTGCTGCATTTTGACGACGGGGCCGTCTAAGTTTGCGGAGAAGAGAGCGGAAAAAATTATAGTTTTCTCAAGCGCGAAAATGCCCAGTGCCCCTCGTTGATATAGACGTTGAGTTATAATGCCCTTTTCGGCTGCGATCCCACGGCGCTAGGTTGGCGTGCAGGAGGGGGAGCTGCAAGGGGCCGAAAGCCAAGGTTTGGATAGCATGAGGAATGATGTGATGCTCGAGTAGTACTATCAAGTTGCAGAGTTGCGGGGGACAGAGGCGGCGCGCGTGATTGGCGGCTGGATGCGGTGAAGAGGGCGTCATAGAATGCACAACTGCGGGCTTTTGCATCGTGACGAGGGAGGATGGGTGCGTGCTGGTCATCTGACGGTAGTTTACAGGACCGACGTTGGCTTGGCGGTGGTTTTGTTTCATGACGACGGCCGCCTTGCTCGTCTTGCTTGCTTGGCTTGCAAGCATCTATGTACATGTACTTGAGCCTTGGTATCAATCAATCCCCTCTGATTGCACCCGTCCGCTCGCGCGCATCGCATCGCAGCCTTCCTCTCCCCCTCCTCCTTGGCAGCATCTGCCTCATTGATCATGTCCCATGGACCCCTCTAGTGCGGCACTCTGCGGCCCGCAGCGCATCCATCCATCCATCGACAGAACCCTTGCTGCGCTGGAGAGGTGTCGCGGGAAATTGCGTGTCTTTGATTTCAGCCCCAAGCGCGGGTTGCGCAGCCAGCAAGAGTAAGAAAAAGAAAAAGCAAGGTGAACAAGTCCGGGGGTCGTAGATTAGATTCGCCTCCAGGCAGACGCTATTCGCGGTGACGGTGGATAAACAAAAAAAAATACACCAGACCATGATATTGATTGCACCTGGGGGCGTGGACAAAGCTCCAAACAACCAACATACAACGTTGAAGAGCGGTCTGGCAGAGCTAGCAACTACTTGACGGTAGGTGCGTGGGATGCGTCGTGTCCCTAGCTTATCGTGCCTGCATTAGACTGGCCAAGTCGTTGCTGGCATCCAATGTGTAGATGCAGCGCGAAACCCGCGTTAATTGCCAACATTGAACTGACTCATCGTACTCCGTAGACAATGGCGCATTCCAGTCATGATGCAGAGTTCAGCCCATCTCATGTCTCGACGCTAGGCCAGGCGGTACTCCAGACAGGAACCGTCGGCGTGTCTTGGAGACGGCACTAGCACCAGGTACCAGAGTCACCCATCCGTGACATGGCAGAACGGCGATCCGAGGTCCAGGCTCAGGCACCGCCAGCCACAACGAGTTGCTGGCTGAAAGAAAAGTGAAGTGCCACCGGGGACCTGTCTCGCATCTCGCACATGGACCAATTGGCCCTTTTCCATCAATGTCGTCCGGAGCGAATCGCGGGCTCCATCTGCCCACAAAGCCCACCGGCTCTGATGCGACCAGACGCACACCATTCATCCCCTCCTCCTCGCTCACGCTCGCTCACGCTCACATTTCACCCTCAGCCAGAGCCGAGTGGCGTCTGGTAGTCCCGACAGTCCAATCTGCGGGCCGGCCTTGTTCGTCCACCCATCCCTCCCTCCCTTCAATGTTCCCCCAAGGCGGTCAGCGTCAGCGCAGAGATGAAAAAAAGAAGAAGCGGGGCGCGCCCGAAATGAAATGTTGCGACATGGGACAGACAGAAAACCGACGACATGCATATATGTACTACGCCAGTGGATGTGTCGACTCACTGCGCGCCCCGTGTCTCTGACGCAATGCACGCTCTTTACGAAATTATGAGGCTCAGTTGACACTTTACTTGACATCAAGGCAAACAAGACGCGGGCAGCCGGGCAGCCGGGCAGCATACCATTTTGGTGGAAATAGGCCAGATGTGGCTTTTTACGATTTCCCCGCTCCACGGTGCCATCGCCCGATGAGGCCATCTGTCGCGCCGAGTATCTTTGTCCGGAAAGTCAAAGAGCG